CACACACACACACACACACACACACACACAGAGACAGAGAGAGAGAGAGAGAGAGAGAGAGAGAGAGAGAGAGAGAGAGAGAGAGAGAGAGAGAGAGAGATTGCCATATATCAACCAATAGAGGAAGCAGGACGTCTTTCCAGAAATATGATGTGCTGAATATAGTTGATTACGTCTAATGCAGAATGCAAAAAAGAAAAAAAATCGAGTTAAATCGAGTCTCGAAAAACTTTTCCGTGGCATACTCTACAGCATCAAAATAAAAAAAAAGGTTTGCCATTATAACAGATAGAAAAAAGTTTGTTAAAAAGAAAACGGTCAGCAATCAGATATTTTAACACAAGCAGGTTAATACAAGGCAACTCTTTCTGTAGGAGTTTTATTCAAGTACTGGCATGCATATTCGATGTAAGTGGAAACGACCATGGTGACCTTATTTGACTTGGATGTAGAACTAGGTAAGCAAAATCATCGATCTCCATTCGCAAAAGTCTTATTTTTTATAACAAATTTCACCTATCTAAAATAAAAACGTAGAAATTTAGAAATAACATTGTTTTATCAAAATAAGTCTTTTAAATATTAAACCGAATGTTCAGGAACATTCCAAATATGGTTAACAATAATCAACACCTAACAGCGCAGATAAAGTCAAATACCAATGGCATTATTCTGTAACGTTAATATTGGCATCAAAGTGTATTTAAGCATGTTTTCATAGTTTATCGACTTCTAAGATCGTTGTACTTTTTTCTCCTATTCCTTTCGTATACAAAAGTGACATCGCTAAAACTGCGTTTAGACAAAATGGCCGGACCTCATTGCGTTATGCTCTTTTAATATTCTAACCCCTATATTACTCCTGCACTCAATTGGTCTTTTAGAATGGTTTATCTTTATGTGTGTTTAACAATGCAATTAAATGCATCGTGTCTGGAGAGAGAGAGAGAGAGAGAGAGAGAGAGAATGGCGGTTTGGCATCGATTTTGCCATTATGAATTAAAAAATTTAATTCCAGGCAAAATGGAGAAGCTGTAAACAGTACTGTGTGCTAGTGCATTTACATAGCGTATATATCATATTTCACTGAGTCTTTTAAATTGTTTTCTTCATTGCGCAACTTCAGCCACTCTGTCTAAACGCAATAAAACGAGCCGATCTAGTCGTTCCCTCCGCCTCAACCCTGGTGCACGTGGACGGTCCCCTTTTGACTTCTGTTGGTGAAGGCGTTATTCCGGGAGCTCATGTAGTGATACGTGCCCTGGTTCAGACGCAGCACTACACCTTCGTAAGAAGCCGGAGCGTTGTCAAGTTGGGCATTAAGTTCATCCTTGTTCCCAACAACGCCGCTGCAATCATCCGTATCGCATCTGAAATTGCACATATCGAGCCATAAGCTCACTGTGACTATTGAAACGGATTTACGAGTGCTAATACTGGACAAATAAATATTTTCAGATATGATCTCAAAAATTTATGATCAAATACATGTATTGTTGTCGACAGAAGCGTCAAAATACTTAGGTGGCTACTATATTAATCCACCGTTAATCTCAATAGTCTCTTTTCTCCACATATTTTTATTTCCATGCACACACACACACACACACACACACACACACACACACAAAAGAAAAAAAAAAGGAGAGAGGAAGAGAGGGAGACGGAGAGAGAGAGAGAGAAAATACATACTCATAATATCCAGAAGTAGCCATATTCAAGGCAAGACCTTTAGCTGTTGATGCCGTGCTGCCATAGTATATCCATTTTACTTCTGCATTCTGCCAGAAGGTCGACTGCTCGAACGGCTTGGGGAAGTTGTGGTTCCGGTCCAAAAGTTCGACAAAGTTATGTCTGTCTGTGCCTAAGTATGACAGTAATATGACAAAAATTTAAAAAGTTAAAAAAAAAAAAACTTATACGTGAAGTGAATTTTATAATCTTGAAGTTTAAGTCAGGGAATGTGTATGATTGTTTAGAAAAATAAGGTTTTAATATAAAAAGGCAATTCTAGCAATCGTGTCATGTTGCAGAAGAAAAAACAGCGGGCCAACAAGGCCCTCGACTCTGGTCACTTAGAGGAAATGTCGACCACGTGGCTACTGATCTCACGGACTTGAGGCTCAGAGAGTAAGGGAGCGTTCAAAACGAATTTTGTGGACCTAGCTAATGCGCACAAACTCCTAGGGGACTCTTGCTGAATGCAATCAGATAAAGAGATTAACGCACCTCCTCCTGGCTTTGAGAAGAATACAGAGAAGCTGGTGATTATTCGAGTACGTATTGGAAACAAGAGGACGTGTGTTAGCCTGTTAATCTGATTGTATTCAGCTAGAGTCAGTGCGCATTAAATATCTCGACACAATTCACTGTGAAAGATCCCTAAAACGACGAAAATAAAAAAGGCTCCTACTAATCTGCTGGGTGATGACGTCAATTCTGTGAAAATATTTTCGCTGTACACAGCACAGAAACGTGCCCAGAAATAGCCAGAAAAATGTTTGTGAATATCTAGTGACAACGATATATCTCTCTATGACCCTGGTAGAAGGAAGGCACTTACCGGCTTTGCCCTGTCCCGCATCACCCGTCTGGCCGTCGCCGCCAGGGGCGCCATTGTTGTGTGTGTTAGAGCCTGGAAAATTTGTTTAGAATGAAAAGCAGTATGAAAAAAAGCAAACAAGAATGATGAATAAATGATTCGACTGGTGAATAAAAATAATTATTTAAGAATTTATAACGATAATTTTTTAACAAAAAATAGATAAATGAACGTGAATATTTCTTAGTTTTAATGTATATAATACACTTTCTTACCACAAAGATGGTATGCTAAGTACATCATGAAATACTATGCAATGTTACAACCTACATTGTAAAAAAAAGTTTCATATTTTAATATCAAATATCTGAAAAATTTATAGTCCGAATTATTATTTTGAATTTGACTATTACTGTTACATAATAGTTTAAATATTTTTTTAAAAATACCTGTCCATTGAACGTGCACCAAGTCGTTTTCAGTCATGTGTAGTTCGGTGGGAATAAAATCGTACTCCACAGCCGGGTACGTTTGCACAATGTTTCCCCTCTTTCCGCGGACGTTGAGGTTGTGCAGCGTCCCTTGTATTTCTGCAGGGCGAGATCTGAGGATGAAGGCGTGTGAACGGTCCTGGAACACCCTGCCGAACTGGGCGGTGTTTATATTCAGGCGGAGAGGCGAGAGGTCGGCGCCGATGTCCACATTGGGGTTGTTGGTGACCGGAGAATTTGCGGCGCCGTTCTCTGTCGAGTCGGTGTTGTAGGGGTCGTAATCGTCAGTGGTGATGTTGTACCTAAAACAACCCACAGAAACTGTTGATTTTTTTTGCCGTTTTACCATCGCAAAGTTCTGGCATTGCTCAACACGAAACTTCCTATTATTATTATTTCTAACAATTTCTAATTGTCAAAATCAAAGAATTTAATGAAATATCTAATTAATAATTAAAATAGTAAATTGGTTAATCAACTAATGATAAATGTATCATGGTTCCAATTACCCACCTTATTCTGAAAACACATTTTTGATCTTTCCCGGAAGGAAAGTAAGGCAAAACCCAAGTATAGTTGAGTGGCACACCGTCCTTGCCGTTACCATTATGATTAACTCTAAAATATGTTAAAAGCATTGGTGTAATAGTATATTAAAATAAATATGGCTGAGTACAAATGATACAATCCAGAGCAAAAATAAGAATTTCCACTTATGACAGAGAAAGATAAAGAAAAAAGTCATTGGAAATAAATGCTGGCAAACAGTGATACAATTGAGCCAAAAACATAACTTTCATTGCTTCTTTTTTTATGCACCCGGACAGTGTTAGAAATTAAGGCTGGACCGTCTGCCCGGGGCTGACAACTTTTAGTATGGGCTGATAAGTTTTCCCACCTGGCAGACATTCAGTCCAGCTACTTTTCAAGATGGCTGGACTTTCGGTCCAGCAACTTATTTTTCTAAGAGGCAAACACTGCACCCGGAGATATATTTAGCATCATTTAAAACACATAAGTAAGTAAGAAATAAACAGAATTCGGTATATATACGCATATATTTTCAGTTTACGTATATGATTGATTTACATCATTACATCGAAGTACTGTTCATAATGATTACGAATCTGATAATCGCATCGCGATAATGTGAAACAGTTGTCCAAGTTACTCCTACGGATTTAATATTTTCCTTTTAAATTTTGTTGATTCTCTGTACAATGGACCTAACGTTATCGAGTAAAAAAAATATCATCATCCATCCTTGTTTGAATTAGTAACTGTATATAATATGATAAAATCAACAAATTACATGGAAAGGAAAATGAAGAAAAAAAGGACTGGCGCAACTCGTACAGCACTGTCCGTGAAAACAGTAACGTCAACATCCCTATCGCGTTTTCTGCGTAGCACAGAGTTTTGGCAAGGCCTTCCGTACGACGTATAACGTGCGACGTCATCACTTTGTGCGTAGTTTTTCTCAAGGACAAGTCATAAGTCATACGGCACTACGTATGAATCGGTGTTTACACGTAGGTAAGAAACGTATCGAATTTAATAGATTTACGCTTATTTCTTTCAAGTTTAACATACTGCAGAGGAATATATAGGGTGTTAAGATTCCACTGAATCACTTTTAGACGCTGTCGGTAAAAATATTCTGTGAAAACAGCTGGAAAAACAGCCAGTCAATCAGTCGTCCGTAGTAGTATCAAATTCGATTTAAGTTGATTTTTTTTTTCATAAACAACAGGATCTGCGGCATCAATTGACGTAAATAACACATTCCATTCAACATCTTAATTATTCATCTATCTAAAAAAAATCCACAAGCAGCCCCATGTTCGTGTAATCCATATATATATAGGCCTATACCCTTATCATTTTATTTCTTTGAAATAGCGGCTCCTGGCGGAAAAAAAACGCATACGGAGTGAGACCTGCCAAAACCACTGCTAGCTTTCTCGCGTACGTAAAACGTATTACGTATTGAACTATACGTTACACGTCATACGGAAGGCCTTGCCAAAACTCTCTAATGTCGCCGCTGTACTCATACCCACCTTGACCATGGCGCCTCCATGCAGTCGACTTCCGGTAGAGGGACGAGACATTTCTGTTCCGTAGTCCCAGTGACTGCATCGTATGGTACTGCCCACACGCGACCTGCCGCTTCACAGTCTGCCCGGTTATCCTCTGAAATATCCATATTCAAAGATATTTAAAATCTTAGAGAAATAAGTAAACATTGGTTAGCTTAAAATAGTCTAGACCCAAAGGTGAATGAAATTTTGGAGAGGCAAATAATAGTTGTCATTTCAATAAATAAATAAATAAATAAATAAATAAATAATATGGGTTAGCTTAAAATAGTCTAGACCCAAAGGTGAATAAAATTTTGGAGAGGCAAATGAAAGTTATCATTTTTAATGTCCACTCACCAGTGGAGATTTCCAGATAGTTGGAGAACTCTACCCACTGGTGTCCAGCATTCGTACAAGCATCGGGGTTGTTATATTTGGAAAAATGGCGGCCGCCCTCAACACACTCTCCGTATTTATGGGTGTTGAAACTCTTGCTTCTGTAATGTCTGGAAATAGAAATAATGTCTTATCAATTTTTATGAATTTCTTGTATCTATTTATCTTTGGGCTAAGCTGCATACATAATAAGATGATTCTAAGATCTTTCGCATCTGTTTATATGTTTTTGGAGTGTTGATACGTAAGAGCTGAAATGCACCTACAATTAGGTAATGACATCGTGCGTGTCTTTTTACAGTGGGCTTTAAAAATCGTTGGGCCGAAAGTTTTTTTGGCGGGGCTTTCAATTTAACTTTCAAAGATGACTTTACGGCTTCTTCACTTTTCGTACACTTTTAAGAGGCATATCCCACCTTACAAATTAGTTCATAGCTACTATCATAAAACAATTCTATCTATACATTATAATAGTGGGATTAAGACAGATCAGTTGAATGATAATGAAAACAAAACTTATCAGGGTCATGTGTAAAATTTCATTATCGTCTGTCTCTATTCACTTTTAAGTGATAAATAGTGTTAAAATAGTGTTAAAACACTATTCAAATAATTTTCATCATCTAGTTATCACGTTAAACTAGAAAGATATTGTGAATAATTTAAATGAGACTCACGTATCGCACAGACTAGCGTTTTCTGCCAAGACAACGATATCCTTCCACGGTGTGGGATGCCAGTATGGGTAGTAATCTCTCTCCTCGGGGCACTCGTAGCCTCTTCTTTGGCCATTTCTGTTCTGTCTTGTGTAGATGGCGCTGCTGACACGCAGACCGTTGTTTCTGCGCAGGTCCTGATCAGCGGTGAAAAGACCTAGACAAAACAATGACATATATGTATATGTAACCGTTGATTGTTTTATTTCCATGATAATAATGAAAATAGGAAAATATTTTTCAAATTTCGAATTTTGTTTTGAAAAGTCGGTGACAGTAAAAGGCAATATGCATACAAAATGCGCTTCAATGACCGAAACCGCTGTCTCAGTTTCGTCTCTATAATTAAAAAACCAGGCATGTGAGGTAACTATGAACTATTATATATCCCAAACTTTATTATAACAGACAAAAAATACCTTTAAATGAATTATTGAATAGATTATGAGACCAAAATAGGTACTCAGCTTTTATGCACAAAATAGCCTTCAGGCCCATTATAGGGGCAGCTTGGTCCATAAAAATGGTTCAGAGTAGAATTAACAACTAAAGAATGTACTGACCGGGTTTCAGTTTTTTTTCTCGCATTAAGGGCCAGTGTCAACACTATACACTGCGTCTTCTCTGATTTCAAAATACCTTTATTTCTCTCCCGAACAAAACACTTGTCGTACCACTCAAATGGCTCTTGAAGAAATCGATCTTCTTTCACTTGCCCTGCTCTGCGAGCTTCGAAAGTGGCGCGGTCCTCGGTAAGTGATGTTAGGCGGGTGTAACCTTGCGTGTTCGTGGTAAGCCCGTCCCTGATCCTGTGAAGTTCGCCTGCAGTGATTAAGGGTGAGCATTGAAAACGCCTTACGTCATCAATATATTTTGTAAACTGTTTACTTATGTAGCATGAGTAGTTTCGTATAATATTGTTGCTTAATTAAAGTTTATTGCGTTCTGTATATTGAAAGTGATTTTGAATTGTTTTATTGGCAGTTAGTTTTAATAAATCTAGATATTATGCAAGGTTCATTGAGAATTTTATGAATTGCACCTAAAAATTCTATACTATTATAATAATTAGCATAATAAAATTATTATTATTATGATCATATTATATTATTATCATCTGATCTAATAATGAAGTATCCAAATACTGGCCAGGCCTATGTTTACCGAAAGATAAAACTACGATCACAAAAAGGGACCAAAGGATCATTACCTGCGGCATTACATCACAAAAACAAAAGAAAAAAAAACAAGTTCATTTTATTTACCTTGTTCTACGTCAGCTGGCTGACACATGTACTGTAGCACGAGGTTACAGTTGACCTTGTGAGGGTCATCGTCCTCGCTTCCGCCACAACCGTGCTGATTGGTCCATTCCACGACCAGGTTGCTAGGTGACGCCTCTGGGTCGTCTCCACTTTGGAAATATTTCTGTAAAACATGGTCGATTGAGTTAGTAAAACCACTTTATTTATTGATTCATTTTCCTATTAAAGCTCCAGTACAATTTTCTGAAATTCAGGGGATGATTAAAGATTTGAAGAATTGGTTTTGTAAGTGGAATGTGTATCTCTGCAGGTTTCCACATAAAATACGTAGGCCTACCATTTGATATTGATCATCCTCGGTGGCGAACGCTTGGCTTGTCTTGTCCCCAACGTTATAACCTCCTCTGTTATTGTTCTGAAATAATTGAAAAGTGTATATTGCATTATTTTGAAATATTTGCAGAGACGTTATTTTAAAAGTCTATTCTTTTCTTTCTTTGTGTCAGTGTGTGAAAATATTTAAATGTTTGGGGGTTTTGAGTTGTTAAATAACAGGAACATCGTTTAAAGAGTAGATTTGTTGCTGGTTGTTTAAGTTAAGGTGTGGAAAAATTAAGAAATGTATGGAAATCTATCTGAATATGGAAACAAACAGATGATGGATATTCTTCACAGAGCAAAGCAATATTGTAGTGAAAGAATCTTATCAAACGTGCATTTGTTATAAAAAAATAATTGGAAAGATTCTAGCACGTTTTCTTTAGTCTTGCAGTGCCAAATGCCTCATTTAATGCTATCTCAGATGCTTCCATTTATTCCATTGATTTTAAATGATCGTGCCTAGCACCAAGTAACAAATTATGGGAGTCATACGAAAATAGAGAGCTTGATATCGTATAATGTTGCCAACTTCTTTAAGGGCCTTATCTGTCGCTGTTACGACTGAATTTGACAGAGCCTTTATTAACGCACGCCCTCCACACCTTGTCCGGCTCTTCTTACATTCCTACGCTCCAATTTTTTCCATTTATTTCCTATGTTTACTCGGCAGGGTGAGCACATTTAAAAGGCCCAAGGGGTAAATATAATAGAGTGCAAACATTTAAAGTCATGCCCCCACTGTCACTTAGATTTACCTACGTCATAAGGTCACCACCTTTGGATAATGGGCATTCTTTTCGTGTGTACAGTAGGGGCAAATCCCCTTGTTGTACGTGCCAAGATGCAAAGTAACTGGTCGGGAAATAATGTTTTAATACAATGGTGGGATGATAATTGCGTCAATTTGATATCACCTCTCAAGTACCCCGTCATCGGGTATATTGGTGTCATTATTTGGAGTAAGATTAGGATTGTGACGCTACCATTTTGGTCTAAATATATATTGGCAATGTCTCATTTCACAAAAAGGGATTTATCATATTACGCATTAAATTTCAATTAAATTTACCTTTGTAACTGACGAAAGATAGTAAATTTCGTTTTTGAAGCAAAAAGGTCTACAAAATGAACCACCAATTGATCCACCGATCAATAATAATGATGGTTTCTAGACCGTAGAGCCCTACAAGCTTATAAAAAATACGTGACCCGTATAATAATATTCTATTCCCGATTCCATTTTGTGCACAGTATTGTTCCCTTTGTCATTTGGCCTTCAGTGACAACATTTCGTGTCATAGCAAATCTAATAAAAGTAAATGTCATGCCCCGTCGTTTTGATTTGGTCTCCTTTAATACTCTCTGGGTTCGGATTATCTTTCAGACTATTGTACTATAAAATTGGTTCGTGCCGTGAATATTTGTCTAGACCTCGGGGGTTTATCGCCTCTCGCTTTCATTAAACACCTCCCCAGGATAGTAAACTCCTTTTTATTTACCAAAATCCGAGGTGTTATATTTTTGTCGTGTCCTGTTTTTGTTTGTTCAAAAACGTGCCTGGGGCAGAGGCTATCTAATAACTAAAATCAAGTGCCCAGTGTCTTTTTTTTTCATTTTTCAGGACACATAAGAAAATGCACCGTGATTTTATTAAATAGACAGTGTTAAAACCAACTCATTCAGAGCACCCTGTCATTGTAACAATTCTGTTTCAAAATTTTTGGTTACAAATTGAAAAATCTCTGTGGTTTTCCCAGGTCTTTACTATTTCGTGGTGGTTCGTGGTTTCATTATTCGTTAAATCTGCATCCCTTTTCTCAACCAAGAGATTTAATTGCGTGCAATCCCCACAACCTATGGAAAATAAAAGCTTTTTCATTTCTATGCGACTAGTAAAGCATTAAATCATCGTCTTCTTAACCTTGAAAACTTGGAGCAACTCAAACTTTCGTGACTAGACCTTTGTATTGACTTGAAATGAAGTCGTGATGTTGCTATCAATAATTTGCATTGCTGAATACAAATCCTCAAAAAAGAGGGGGCGCTTGGTGTTAACCAGCAGTGATGAATGAGCTACTATTCATAATGCGGCTTATGTGGTTTCTCTACAAAGGTACTGGCCTAGAGTAACCTAACACATAATGAAAATAACTCGGGAGACACCCTTGAACCTCACGATTTATTCGAACCATTAGATTGTCCTTGGATGAAAAAAGGGGTAATCTTTCACCGATCACGCCAACTCCAAATATCTGTAAGAAGGTCCATTTTCCTTCGGTCACGAAACCTGCCGCTTCAGTAAACACAAATTCGAGCTGTGCTTGCAAAATCGAAATCTTATTTAGAATTGTGATTTAAGCAATGCTCGCCGATTATGTGTGATGTCGAGGTTTGACGCAGTGTGCCAACAACTCTTTTTGCTTTAATAATAATCCAGTGTGGGCGTTGGGGGGGGGGGGGGGGGGGGTCATTTTGGGCAATGTCGTATTCACTCTTTAATATATTTCGTTTTTCTAATCACATTTTCTCATTTTATTTATTTATTTATTTATTTATTTGTGTTTTTAAAGAAGAAGTGGCTGTAACTACTAGTACACGTGTTCGAACAATTAATCACAATAAAATGCCCCCAGAGATGAGGTAAACATTTCGCTGTCAGGCGATGCACGTGCTACAGCAAACGCACCTAGTGCTTTGATCTAATATAATGAATACCTATCGATACTGATTCTACTTGCACTGACAAAGGTAATGCAATGATATAAAATGTTATACAACGGTCACAAGTTGCGAGCTCCCATGCAACTTTTGTCGAATTGCCAATTTGCAGAGGTAAACTGTTATCAGAACAAGATATAAACAACCCGATGTCGTAATGACGCAGGTGCTCATCGCTTTAACAAGAAAGCATTGCGCAAGGAGAAGGTGGTATGGTGGCTATTTACACCATAATAGAGATGTACTGAAAAGTTAATTGCAGTCATTGGTTAGTTGTCAATCGCGAACTTGTGGTAGATTTGCAAGTAGGGAAATCGGGAGTGAAACTTCCCTTCGGTAAATATTCACGTTTATATAATGATAATAATAATTTATTCCTTGGGCTTTAAACGATCGAATTTTATTTTCAGTGGGTAAATAGCATTGTGAACAAATTATGAGTGTCCTGGCCAGTCCAAAGATATAAAAATTTAAATGATAAACTATTAATTCACTTGAGTAAGTTCATTTCCGTGCACAAATATTTTTTTAAAATCTGGGGTATAGAGCAGTATCTGTTCTGTCTTTGTACGAGAAAGATAATGTGAAGAAAAAGTAACAGACAAACACACGCACATGGACACATGCAAATGCACGCACACACACACACACACACACACACACACAAATGATGATAAAATACGGAAACCAATAAAAGAATGCAGCGCGCCCCAGGAGTGTGATTTTGATGTCCCACAAACTGATTTCTGGAGTGAAAAATGACAGTGAGCAGACCACAAACCCGTCCTAGGCTCGGTAGCTCGATAAGATGGGAGAGATTGCACGGCGCGCTGAGTGACGAATGCACAAAGTGTGAAGAGCCACCTTTCCGAACTTTGTTCAGATTATATCTGTCCGTCACTGAGTCAAAACGAAGAGGAGATAATTTATTTGGAAAAACAAAGATAAACATGTACGCATCTCTGGGTCATTGCCATTGTTCATTTCCGCGTTCTGTGGCGTTCGTGTGTGCAGCCGCCAACTTTCTAGCCATCCGTTTATTCGAATGTTGGTCAGGCCAATACACCGTGAATTTGCAACGGAATGGAAATAATTTATTCACAAAACATGAAATTAACTAGGTAATTATCTTCTTACAGTACTAGTTTCTGCCCGGAAGAAAAAGGAGCCACGGGTGCAATGACCGGAGGTCTTCTAAAAATCTAAGGCCAATCCTTAGGTTTACTAAAGTTAGTCACATTTACTGAGGTTTGGCTCTCGGTAACTGTCAACTGATATCCGCACCTTTATCAATTAATGGACACGATTTTTTATGAGTGGATGTCTTAAAATAGACTTTATGGCTTTATTTTGACCACTTAAAAATGCACTTAGCAATTAGCCAATTAATCATTTTCATTAAAACTAATAATCATATTGCAATTAATAACAACATAATTAGACAGTTAAGATCTAGAGTCGCTTTGTAAGGGTTGCTAATGGCTACAAGCATAAAAAACTAAACGTCAAATCGTTGAAATATATGTCGTACCTGTGAATCGAACCCCCTGTTAGCATTTTTACGGTTGGCGGATTTTTCGTTCAACCGGTTATTTGATCCTCGAGGGTTGTGTAAGTAGATGTCGGCGCTGACACATACTAGCGCGAGGGCGCAACACGCCACCTTCAGCAGCATCCTGGCTAAAAAGCGAAAAGATATTGTGAGATAACATGATTAATTGTCCACGCTGAAAGCTACGTGAAAACAAAAACAATATGTATGATGAGGGCATCTTTCACGCAACAGAGAGATGACATAATCGAGAGACAGTTTTCTGAAAATCGCCTGCACCTCAGTGAACTGAAAACACGAGGCCCCAATCGACACATCAGAAAAACAAACCTCTATGTCGATAAAACGGCTGATATAGCCCCTGGTCCACTGAATAACATAGCCGTAGAAAACCTACCTTAGAAACAGGTACACTTAAGTTTTTCGTCTGGCCACTGGATGATTTCAGTGTTCGTGGGTTTACTTCTATTCTTTATAAATCCCAAGCACCTTGGCACATCGTTCATATTCTTACTCAGTTTTTGAAAGGCAAATGTTCATCCATAAATGGAGATACCCCATATTACTGCGCTTGACGTAAAATCAATGCAAATAAAGGTGGTGGCGCGAACACTCCCCTATCCGATTACTCCCTTGGACACAAATTTAGTTTGAAAAATTAGTGTTTTTTGTGGCTTTTTTTCGCCCGATAAGATAATAATAATTCATAATAAGTCATTTTTCCCTGTCGTAACGGTTTGTGGATGAGTGACAACTATTACGTGACAGATATACATCTGTCTTACCATCGTGATCATCTATCTGATTTCACGCAGACCGTTACAAAAGGGCTTGGCGGGGACCCCAAAAGGCAATTCATCAGATAAAGATGGGTGATAATTATAATTAGCCTACCTGCGTCAAACCAAAGCATGACGGGACGCTCTCTTGGGCAGTGCGGGGAACTATTTTGTTGAGCTCACGCGAATAGGCAGTGACTAGAACGACTGACAAATATTAAAATTTCAACTTGTGTCTTTGCAAGCGTGATTCTAACAGACTCAGAAGAAAGATGAAGACCTTGGGCGTCATTCTGAGCTGTGTGGTTTTAGCTCAAGCCGATATCTACCTTCATAATCCAAGGTAAGTTTTTTTCTGAAACTTACTGACATTTTCTCTTACGTGTTGCCGTCGGTATCATTTATTGTGGAAAAGTATTCACCAACCTCGGAATTCGCTTATCTGGCATGGCACCCGTGTGCACAAGTATATGGCCTTGAGGTACAAAATTATAAGAATAAATATAATCGATATTTTCATCCTCTATCTACGGTGATTGGCATGTAAAGATCTCGTCTGATATGCGATATTATTAAATTGACCACTATTTACATTGTCATTGGAGCGTGGCAGAGATCTAAATCCCTGCAAAAGATCAGTGGCGAAATTACTAATATATATTTACCTTCGAAAGCCAATTTGATAAGGTTTATGGGCTTATCAAATGGAATAGAATAGCAGAGAATAGAGTAGAGAAGTAAGATAAGTAGCCAAGCTCAAATTACTCGGCGGTGTGAATACCTTTTTAAGGACAAATTAAAGTATATTATCAAATAGCATTCGACATAAGACCTTGTAGAAATTGCCCGGGGTTAAAAAAGGAGGAGCAAAATGAATGCAATACGGAACAAAGAAATTGGGAGATTGTTTAGAAAATAAGGTGGGTTTTATAAAACAAAGTTTAAAATAAAAGCACACGTGTAACCCACGGAACAAAATTTGATGACATTTGACGAGAAACATTTTGCATTTTTTGGGCGGTATCTAAAAACATTGGGAATAAAGTATTTGCACATGACTTTGTATTTAGCATAAGTAAAAAGGCCAAGGTGAAAAGAACAAAGAGCTCTTGAATTGAATGGGAATGTGAGTACTAGTAGTTTTCGCTTGTGGCTTATACAATAGTCACGTAGTATGCACACCAAACTGGTTTTCCACGTTCAAGGCCCAACTTCTCAAAGGGGTCAGTTGGGGGAGGGGGGGGGGTGTGCTTTTGGAGATTTGCTCGCTTGTCCCAGTTTGTCTATTCAAGTGGCTTGGAGTTTGCACTGTATCAGCGAAAACCAATTTTGTAAGAAAACTTAAGTCCTTTTGCGTTAATTTAGATATAATATTGTTTAAAGTATCTGGAATTTACTCATAGGTTCTGAACTAAGCAACTATTCTCATCTTCCACTGGTATTGGCAGAATGCCTACTATTTCTTATTTTTCTTGATTGTAAGAGAAGCACATTTTTGCGCTCTGCTTATTGTGCTTATTATAATTTTACAAACATGAACATTTATTTTATGTCATTAAATTTCAGAGGTAGTAATAATCGACTGGATGGAGAAGGTCGTGACGTAAGAAATAATGCAAGGTAGGCATTTTTAATAATTTTTTTCATTTTATTCATCCTTTGAATTGTTTCTTTTATCGTGCGCTACTGCATGGACTTTAGAGTTGGATGTGGGTTTTCTTGTAAATTAGCGCCATGGGGCCCACATAGGGGAATTGACAAGCAAAAAGTACCTCGCCCAACTTCAAAGCCCTGGGTAACCCTTAAAAATATCGTGGGCTGATTTATAATGAAACCAAACGTTCATCCATTTAAGATAATTATGTTGACAGATTTTGACGTAATTAAAAGTTTCTATTCTTATTTTAAATGTAATTAGGGACATACCATCGCCCACTCATATATTATAACTGTTGGATGTCAATGATTGCAGCCACTGAAGAGTATGTGCTGGTATATTTACAAACGTATTTAAAATGAGGGTCTTAACAGATCATTTCAAGCAATTTGTAATCTGCTTCTCTAAATTGACTTTCAAGTAAATCAGATCGACCCGCACTACCAGCAAACACTACGTTGTTCAACTGGCCATTTCCATTTCTAAATTCACTTGATAATATTGGTAATTGCATTTTAAACATTTGGTTGACCTATGTTTTTCCTACTGATATATGGGGTTGTTCAGGCAAAACAAACACGTGACACGGAAACCGGAGTGGCTGAAATGGTTATCCAAGAAGTGGAGATCCGCTACTCTCTACCAGGGTGGCAGATTATATAGAGAAAAATGGGAAAAGCCAAAGAGATAGTTAAATGGCCGTCTATTTATCTAAATACATATATGTGAATATCCTGTTTGTGTAGCACATTTTTGTTTATCGTAGTTTACATGTATGGCAGCGCGCAATTCCATAGTCACTGTATCTTTTTAACTTTATTTTATTTATGTTTATAAACCTTTTTTTTTTCTTTTTAGACTGTACGATTCGCAGAACAACAACCGGGGTGGGTACAACGTGGGAAACCTGTACTATTACGAAGGAACAAAACTTTCGATCGAATGGTAAGTAATGATAGCTAAAACATTTACCAATGTTTTTGCCTTTATTTCAATCCTGCTATTAGTGTTTTGAAATTAGCCAAATGATTGTCATTCTTTATCTGTAGTCAAGTTCAGTAAACTAATAGATAAGAATGCCACTTATAAATATTTAATCACATTAGTAAATATAACAAAAGTGATGTCCTTCCCGTCCATTTAAATGCAGTCGCAAATGTCATATTGTCAGTTTTAGTTTTTGTAGCACAAAATTCAAGCATTAGATCTCCTTTTTATGGTTTCTGGTATGTACTGCACAGAAACCGAAAATAGGAGTCCTACATGAATTTTGAGTCATAGACCCCATTTCCACAGATTTTAGATAGATCTATCCCTGTGGGGAGACTCACTAGATTACTGTCAGCCTAGCCGGCTTTAAGCGTCTGTCCCGCCTACTAAAAGCTGTAAGGGGGTAATTAACTACCGTGCGCGCTCGACTGACTGCAATTTAGCGTGAACTCCCAGGGAGTTAGTTCGGTCCGGATGGATCGATCTAAATCTCTGGGAATGCACTAATAGATTTTGGACGCTAAAATGATGCACATGTAATGCGCATGTTAGGGTATAAACTCGTGTGGCTGTGTACTCTGCATTGTTGTTTTTAACATTTTTTCTTTATCATCTTTTATTATTGTTTTCCATTATTATTATTATTATTATTATTATTATTATTATTATTAATATCACTTTCAGGACTAATCAACACACCTGTGCAGACCAGAATGCCCACTGTGAGCTGGTTCTGCAGTACATGTGTGACGACAAGATCAGGGATGGTACTACCACCACCACCATTCCAGATCGCCATGACAGGTGCGAGAACTTCGACTGTAACACTGACATGAAGTTTGGCATGCAGGAGGATTTTGACTACTATTTGAACTGCCGCACCAGGGAGAGAAACAAGGGACTTTTTATTGCCGACAGGGTGGGTATACAGTAGTTGATTTTGCATGTTACAAATGTTTTTTTTTTCGTCACGGACACAAGTTCGTCTTTTTCTCTTCTCTGTCTCTTTCTCTCTCTCTCTCTCTCGCACGCACGCACGCACGCACAGGCACGTGTGCACACAGTCAGTGCATGTGTGCACACGTGCCTGTGCATGTTGATATCAAGATATCTAGTGGTATTATGCAAACTATTAAGAATTGCTAAGAACTCCCAATAGAACTAAATGTTCTTATACAATTTGTGACAAAGAAAGTTGATTTTATCATTGAACAGAACCTGAACCGTAACGATGCCAGACGTACCCGTCAGAACAACAATGGCCAAAGAAGAGGCTACGAATGCCCAGAAGAGAAAGATTACTACCCATACTGGCATCCGACCCCATGGAAGGTACTTTGAAGATTAAAAACTGCGTTTAAAACTTGATCAGTGTAAATCAGATGAGTAAATCTTGAAATCAATGAAACCACGAACCTTTTCTCTAACATAATTGACGTATTTGGTAATTTTTTTCCTTGTATAAATTTTGTTAATTGTGAAATTTACCTTTTCGAAAATACGCACCCTTTCGGGGAAAATCTGCTTTATGTAACAGTGAATTCAGTAGATGCCGTTCGTGCATTCATACTTGTGTAAATAAACCGTTTGGCGTGCTTTTGGCAAGGCAACAGATTCATATAACAAAAACGTCGTACTTAATGCAAAATTGATATTTTAGGACATTGCAGTGATGACCAATGACGAGGAGAGATGCCAATATTACAAGACAGAGAGCGCTAACGTCAAATCAAGATGGGCCTGTGTCATACCCAGAGAGATTCTGATGGAAAGATATCTGAGGAACATCATTGTGCCTAACAACGCGGAAGATTGTGCCGTAAGTTATTTACTGATGGGTTCGGGGGAAGGGGGGGGGCACGTCCATTATTAGGAATAGATAAATGAAAAATTACAGAGTTTAAAGACAAAAAATTTAAGAGTATTCTAGATAAAACATACAGATTCTCACATAAAATCACTTACAGTACATAACTAAAATGTTTGTTAAGAAAAAAACAGCCTTATTTGCACACAGAAAAGATTATAGGCAGAACAGCCTTATTTCTTACAGTGTAAAATGCAATTACTATAAAATTTGTAAAATCAATTTAAAAGTCGATTAATCAAACAATTTCCTGAAGAGGTATGTCTTCAATTCTTTTTTAAAATGTTTGGTAGACTCAATTGATCGGATTTCCAGTGGTAATAGATTCCATTCCTTTGGACCTGCTGATTTAAAAGAAATGTCACCATAAGTTTTTAGGCGCATTTTTACCGGCTTAAGTAACAATATCATAATGTATCGTTATTTTTGGCGGTCCTCACCAAGTTTCATTAGCATTCTGCGGGTCCTTTTTTGTTACACCTGGCGCTTATCATCTGAATTTGGGGTTTTCAGGAATTTGAATACGAAGGTGAGAAAGTAGGCA